GATCAATAGCAGTAAATCGAGACATATTTGCTCTAGGCATAGTCAATTGAGACACTTAAAATATATCATGTAAGGTCTACTGAGAATTTGGTGGAGCAACGGGAACACAAATAGAGGGATGGCATTAAGGCCCATGATCGACGAGTCACAGGGGGATGGGAACCTCACCTAGTAATTGAAGTGATTGATGTCCTATGAAGGGAAGAATAAGTCCCTCCAGTAACTAATGGAAACTCCACTATGATATATAAATGGAGGAAATAGTCCCCTAAAGGGAATGGTCACAATGTTTCCTGTGTCATCCCTATCTCTATGATGCAGTAGTACCATTGCCATTATATGGTGGGTTGAGCTTAAACCCTTGATTTGACAATAAACCTAGAAGAAGTAAAGTGCATGGGGGTGCTGAGGTGCAAGGCATCCTTCATTAATTCACCTATGAGCGTGGAATTTTTACAACTTCCTATGGGTACTGGGCAAACCTTAGAGAGCTCAAAAACTTGGGGTACAATGTTCATAACCATAACAAATATGTGGGTAAACTTTGAATTGCATGACTGAAAAAGGATGCAGGACACCCATAAGGCATTCTCATTTCAAGGACGTAATTCAAGGTTCATCCATTCACTGTCCAGGTAACAGTATGTGATGATTAGATGGACATTCAAGTTTCTTGGACATTTCCACAAATGCCTTATATTTCCTAATTTGCTATTTCACTATAAAACTGCCTTGAAACGAGTGGGGAATTATTAATTTTTTTTATCAATGTTTCAAATCAACCTCAAAATGTGTTTGTTAAGGGATTTAAGTAGTGTGGGTAATCTGCGAAAATTGATATTCTTGAGTGCCTAATCAATACTCAAGTCTAATGGGCTGAACTTGTTCACCGAATTGTAAAGAGCGATCCTTGTGCTAGTGTCTGAGTTTGGGCATGATTTCAAAACATCAGTAACCGATGTCCAGACATTTTGACCAACTTGCATTTTTTACTACAACAAACTCTGCAAATCTGTTGGTTTTGACTGTGGAAGAGTTTTTAAGCAAAAACAATGTATGGTGTTGTGGCCTTCCACCACATATGGAGTGTTACTCTATTAGTGCCATGTGGCCTCTTACTATATATAAAATGCATGGATTTGTAACATGGTTTGGGTGAGCCCAAAACTTTAAGATTATTACAGAAGCACTGTAAACCACTTGGTAGTTTTGTCAATACTTTCCCAATACTCTTACTGAATACCCTTCTATTCCAAGTCAACAACAGTAAACATAGTCAATGATCTTTCTTTATAAGGAAACATTTATATAGAGAGCTGAGGCTCTAAACAATCAAATTTGAGCCTACCTCAAAAATTTCATTAGAAGAGGTTGTTTTGAAGTCTAAATATCCTCAAATTGATCATCTAGACATCAAGATGCATGAACATGACAAAAAAGTGGATTTCAAGTTTTGGAAATAATATATTTTGTAACGCATTTTTGGACCGTCAATTTTCAAGATTTTCAAGTTTTTATAGATCTATCGATGTGTATTATTTTTTAAGTTCTAAACTTTATTAATAAAGATGAAAATATATTTTAAGACTCACAAATATTTTCAGTATTGAAACCACATTTATTAACACTATTTGAAGGTGGGCACTAATTTGACTGTTTAGACCCTTCTTTATATATTTAGTT